AGAAGCTTATGGTAGCGCACTTGCCTAGCATGTGCAGGGTCCTGGGTTTTATCACAAATGCAACAAAAGAGAACAGACACTAGAAGTGCACAAAGCAGTGTCTCTAACGACTTTACAAGCAGCCTACTCCTCTGTCTTCAGAACTCTTGAAAAGTAAAATTTCCAGAGGTGACAACTATATTCACAATTCTATATGCATGAGGTCACTTAAATGCCTCCTGACCTCTGAACTCTTGGTCACTAAATGATTAGTATTACTGTATAACTTTTGCTATTTTCTAATATTTACATTTCTGCATGCAAAACCCATCTGACCCAGAAGGCAAGTAAAAGCCTACTGGCGCTTTGAAAAGATTATGTTTCTTTGTGGTCATGCTTTCCCTTTGTACATGAAGGTTTCCAAAAACAGTTTTCCTGCTAAGAACTGATTCACCGGGTATTTTCAGTTTTTCAACATAACGAAAAACTCTGTACATTAGCATCTACTCCCACTGGCCACTTTACAAGAGGGCTGTGGCACTTGCCTCTGCCACTGGGATTTGAAAACACTCACAACACTTCACCTTTATGCTGGGCTAAACTCAGGGTAGCCATAAACACTCCGAAGTAATACAAACCTAAATTCCTGCTAGGCAAACGGAGCAGTGGAACTGAATTATAATGAGCTAGCAGCTGTCACAATATGACCACAGTAACCAAATCAAAATATCAACCGCTAACCCAGATGAGATTCAAAGGTCATCCTATAAGCCAGAAGCTTTCTTCAGTTCTGCCTGAAACCTCAAACTAATCCTGCAGTAAAATGTTCCACTGAGCTAGTTTAGAAACCAGTTACCCTATGCTGGTGAATTATTTAGTGCCCTAGTACAGTACCATTAGAGGACTAAAACCAAATACCACAGTAAGGAAACCGAGCTTCTCACAATGAGACATGTTAAAACACAGCAGCTGAGGTCGAACTAAGCTGCGCCCAACTGCACAAAAGTATCACTTTTCATATCCTTTGGTCACCAATTCATGTAGATAATCTTACTGGGCAACATGCTTACTTATCCTCAAACAATCTGCTTTTCAATTAAAGCTCTGGAACAATAGAAGAAAAATACATGCTTGGATTCTTCCTTGGATCAAAGAGTTTTAACCAGAATGTATACTGTCTGCCATTGTAAAAATATTTGCAGAATAACTTGAAAAAGTTTAATGGATGACCAAATAAGGCAGAGATGTTTTTAAAACTCTGTATTCTTTGTATATAATTTTGGCCAGAATTTCAAACTGGTGAACAGTATAAAAATAATCCTCTCAAAAGATACAAGACTCAATCCAGAGTCCCTGAGTCCAATTTGCATATTGTGATAATTACTCCACTGTCTACCTGTGAAGGTCCAACCAAACTGGTTTAAAAATACAGTGAATAAGTTTCTAACAGATCAAGGATACACTACCACCATTACAAACAGTCACCAGAACAAAGTGATTTGTTTTCTGCGGATACAAAGAGTACATGGAATTCCACCTAAGGCAAATGCAAAATGGCATGTATCTACCCAGGGCAAGCAATGACTGGCACTTACGAAGGACCAGGTAAGACCAGTGTGCAACCTGGCGGTGCAGGCAACAAGCCCTGTGGTCACTCCATCCTTGCAGAAACCTTTCCACATTAAAAAAAAAAAAAAAAAACCTCCAAAAAGCCATCTGTATCTATTTTTTTTTTATTTAGAAGCTTGTTTTTATTTCACTTACATTTTTCTTTCAAAGATTTACACAATGTCAACCACTGAAATTCTGTCTGACAACTATCACTAGACATTGAAATGTAATGAGTAAGGGCAATCTTATAGACCAAGAAATATCAGTAATACTTTTAGCAAAATAGATACATTTGTGAGTATATGAGCCTGTATGTGCACACACATATAAGCACATGTGTGTTTATTTTTACTTTAGTGATTCACAAGCTATGAAACAGGGTATTATTTTCAGATATACTTAGTTCTAAAAAAATAATACTTTATTACTCTTATTACTTATATGCCACTTTGCATAAAATTGAAATAGAGCATATAATAACAACTCATTCCCAATAGGAGAGAGTAGCACAATACATTTTTATTCCCTTGCAATATAATAAAACATTACTAAATAAACAGGTTAGACATCCCCCCCAAAAAATCAGGTCATCTGCAGTTAATAACCCTTCCCCGTAAAATTAGTGTCACTTATTTCTGTAGCAGACGCCTAATTCAGTCACAGGCTTGATTGATTTGACAATAGAGAATCTGCTCCAATAAAGTGGCTGATTTATTTCTGATGCTATAGCTTTTACTCAATGTAATACCATGGCAGAATTAAGTATCTGAAATGTAAAGAAATCCTTTGTAGTTTTAATGAAAACCAGTCGAAGATTGTGAGAATAGACTGTTACCCAAAACTAGTATCTTACTTTGAAACAGGGAAAACACCCACAATGGTTTGAAGAGTTGAAAATGAATTTGGACCCAAGAACAGTGTAGAATACAGCGCTCAGTCTCTAAATTCAAATTGTCCTCTAAAGGTCTTATTTTGCCTTTATCTCCATTTGCAAACAGGTTCTCTAATTTCTAGAAAAGAACAATACAGTAAATACCTAACACAGCTCATCTAAATCTAGTTTCATTTTAAATGAACAGCATCATAGAAAAAAACCAATGAGAATCTTTGTTCCCTGAGTCTAGCCCTGAGACACCCAAGTCCATCAAGAAGGCATTTGGGATACGAGAAATTACAGGATTAGGCAAAGTTTTTCAGCAACATCACTGTCAGCTAACTAAAAATATTCTCTCAATTCTTCTCTAAACCAAAAATGTAAGGTATTTCATACTTGCTTCAATGTCTTTCTACCCTTTCTTTTTCTGCACACTGCACAGTGCCCTGTCGCTCTGAGGGCGACTCCTCTGACCCAAGTCTGACACTGCCCCGTTAAATGTCTGATAAACCATTTAGCCCAAGCACAATTCTTTTCTGTGCAAAAATCTGCTTGAGGTGGAAAATGTAGCAGTTTGTAAACAATAAAGAGCCATGTTTCAGACCAGACAGCTTATCTAACAGAGAAGGCCTTTCATTGGGAACAGTGGGTGGGAGCCTCGCGAACATAGTAGCATTTCCTATTACAATGCAAGAGACTGTCTTGGCCTCCATATTTAAGAGTTTAATGGGAAGGAGGGCAGACAGCATGAAAGAGCAAAGCTGACATGGATTTTCAGCTTAAACAACAACCAAGTGAAAAGAATCAGCTCTCTCCGCTCTAGACTGTCGGCCCACTTATATTTTAAATACTGTTTGGATTGAAAAACTAATTTGGTTTGTAAAGCAGATGCCCATCAGGAAACACACAAAAAAGCAATCATTTAATACATTTCTATTGCTTGGTATGTTTTGTAATACTAACTTATTAAGTTGTTCTTTAAGGTTTTTTTTTTTTTTTTTTTGCATATGTAACAAATTTCTAAATATAAGTAGATATTTATTTAAGGTATTTTATTTACTTTAGCACATCTGAGGATAACTTTAGAATATTCTAAGGAAGTTAGTATATTTTTAGTTGCTATTTTTAAAGACTCATTTTCAAATTAATCTTTAACCTTATTTTATGAAACTGTATAGAGGAACAGAAAAGCAAAGGTGTTAGAATTAAAATCATTCCCATTGGCAATGAAGTGTCCAAAACTGTCCTTAAAAACCTAAATTGAAAAATATATTTCATCATGTGTTTCTACATATCTTAGAAACAGAAGGGTTGGTGGACTTCCCTATTGACAACTGATGCAGAGATAGGATTCTCATTTTCTTTACAATGTTAACATTTAAAAATAAAATTCACCATTCTGAAGTCAAAAAGATCACAAAAATAAGAACAACTGGTGATCAAATACAACTTCATGGTACTCAAACTTAGGGTGACAGTCAAAGACACAAACATACTCTTTATGATTTTGTGTTAAATGACTAACTTGATGATGATTTTTGGAAAAAAAAATCTGTAAGTAAGACAGTACCCATATTTTAAGTAACTGCTGTAGCTTTCATGGCTTAAAAAACAAGGAAATTCTTTATAAGCATTTCCAGTTACAATTACAGAACGACACAACTATTGTTGTGTGTTTTCCTTGGAGAATGGTACACAGCTCATAGTATGAAATCTAACTTCATTTATTGACAGATTCCCAGTAAAATTTGGCCAGGTTGACAGACTTACTAATACTGTTAAGCACTCACATTTACTAAAAGAAAGATCATTTTTTAATCAAAACTGAAGTATCCAGCTATGGGGACCTTCTAAGCCACTACACATTTATCTTTTCATTCCTCTGGTTACTGCTGTTTAACAAACATCTCTACAAAGTAGTCAAAAGCAGAAAAATATACTAAGAACAGCAGTATGAACATCATGATAGAAAGTCTCAGACAGATTGATACAACAGACAGACTGTACCTCGCTTCAAATCGGGATCTGCCGACAATTAGCTCTGAAGTTTACACCTTGATAACATACTATCAGGCTTTACAACTGAACCTGAATGCACTACCCTGATTTAAGCAAACTAAACCCATTGACAGTATTTTATTTCCATACTCCAAAAATAAAAATTCACAGCTAAGCATATGTCCTTGCCAACCAACAACCTCAATGATACTTTAAATATTCACCTCTTTGACTTTGTCCACCTCATCCAAGAAAATTATCACTGCAACACTGAACGTGGTATAACTGCTTTGTCTAAGGAAGTCAACATTTCCACAGAGATTCAGCAACACTGAAATGATTTCACTCCACATAACTGTAAAACTTAGTTTCCTAAATGTTTTTAACAAGCACAGGTTAGGAATATTTTTCTGTGATTTTAAAAAGCTGGCTAAATATTCAAGTCCCAAAATATTAGGGCTCTGTTTGAAGCACAGGTTCCCCTTCTGTAATAAAACATAAACACTCAGAATGAATTAATGTAAAATTTTAGTCTTACTTTGTATTCTGGAATTGACAAAAGGTGGAGAGAGATTGTCATGTGACCCAAGGTCCCTGCTGGTCATGTGGTCATAGGGAGTCCCATCTCCATAGTTCTGTAGGTAAACAACAGGGTAAGTTTTAATCTTACATTAATACATCAGCACATAAATACATCCCCACTGCTGAAACCTCTCTCAGCCAAAGCCAGAGTCTATTCTTCCTCTCCGGAACCTCTTTCCAGGGATGGTGTTCATCAGACTTCTAGAGTCCACAGAGTTCAATGTTCTTGAGAATAATAACAATGGTACCAACTACATGGAGTTGTTAATATGATTAAGTGAAATAATGGATATAAAACACCATACAAATATGAAGTACATTGAAAAACATTAATTTTTTTTCTGCTAAGTCTTCATTAAACCATGATTGTGCTATAAAGGAAAAATGATTCATAACCTACAATGGTTTATTTTTTAGAAAACCAGAGTAAAGCAACTTAGACAACAACTTAAAGTTATATGATATTCAACATTTAAGGTCTTACTATAGTTACTGTTATGCTTGTTAGAGAATTGGCTGCTTCTATTGGTAAGAATATAAAGATTAGAATATAATTATGAATGAATTAAATGCTTTAGCATAAATTAGTATTAATAGACTTGGACATAGTATGCCACACATACGCAAAAAAAGAATTCTAAAGCAACAATTTTTGGCAAAAATTTTTCATTATTATAATCATCTCCTTGGTTTGTTGAGAATTTAAAAGTATATTTAAGCTCTCGGTTTAAATTTAATGGAGAAATTTGATAACATGTAGAAAAGAGTTAAAATCATCTGTATTATATGATTCAAATCTTTGCCGAAAGTGCATAAAGTGATTTCCTCCCCCCAAAAAAGTAACTGCTCAGCTGGCTGAAATGCCCATAAAGTCTAAGTCAAATTTACTTAGTAGTATCAGTTGGGTGTCAGCCAAAGGGCAGGCTCTGCCTACACAAAATACATGGATATTGTGTGACACTGAAAAGCCATATTGCCACACTAGATACTGACCCAAACCCTAAAAAACCACCATTTTAACTGTCTTTTCCCATTTATAAAAATTAACTTGGATGATGCTGTAATCTAGTGGTGTCAGTATGTGAACATACAAAAAGATGCTACATTTTAAATATTTGTTAGGAAATTTCTATAGCAGACACTGCACCACAACAATTATTTTCATTAAGTATCATCATCCTACATAGTAGGCTAAAAATGTAATTTACATTATCTAACTTGAGTCTTGGCATAGTACTACAAATAAAAAATAATATCACCACTTGAATGCAAAAGGAGACAGACTTGCAAGGTTGTCCAGGTACAATTCTACAAATAATCTATCCTGGGCAAACTTCTTGGATTTAAAAAATATAACTTCCAACATACACAAATGCAAAATTATTCATCAATGCGTTCCTCAAGAAAAATGATACACAATAAAAGCTAAATTTAAAAGTCAGAATGATTCTAAATGGACTTCACCAAAACTTGATTAAAGTTATTAAATTTTAACTAATAATTTCCTATTCTTACTATGTGTATTCAGTTTCGCATTCACAGTACTGTAAAAATTATATACACTGTAACTATACATAGGAAAAAAAATTAAGTAAATCTGAATGAACTGAACAATAGGGGGAAGCTCTGTCATCTTTAGTTGCTGTCAAAGGGAATGGATTTATTTCTCCAAGTGCAGACTGTAACATGAGGAGAAGGAAAGATTTCCTCGGCCCATCCATATAATGCATTAGAATGTCAAGCTCGACAGCTGGTGTAAGGCTCAACAAAGTTCTCAGTAAGCTTAGAGATCCTGCTACACCCAGAAGACCAGTGTGAGGCTCACACAGTGAAGGACAGGTGGAAATGTGTAACTATGACTTACTTAAATGTCAATGTTCTGACAGCCTCAAGACCTCCTCTATCTCTAATGCCAAAATAGAGACCCTCCCATCCTAAACTGAAATGCGCACTTGCAGTAAAATATTATTCTCCTACTATAATGCTTGCTTTACCTTCAGTCAGCTGGGGAAGGGAGACAGGTTTGTTTTGGCAGGTGCATTAGCTCTACTTTTAACTTGGGACATCATATGAAGTATAAAACTTGCATGAATTTAGGAGAACTAAGAAAAGATTCAGCTAAAGTCACCACACACAAAGCATAAAGAACACATGGTTTCTTTTATATGAGAAACACAAAATATAAATAAAGAGTAAAATAAAAGATAATAAAGTAGGGAGACAGATCCTTTCCACATGAGAAGGGGATCAGGAGTTCAGGGAGGGGGAGGCAAAAGAAGAATCCAGATATGCTACATGCATGGACCAACTCACACAAGGAATGGAATCAGTATGAACTAATAAACACGTGCTAATAAAAGGTAAAAGCTGAAATGAATGGAATAAAAGACATTTTATACAAAATCATGTTTACAGTATTTAAAGTAGAAGAAACACAAAGAGACTCTGCTTTTGGATTTACATTTTACGACTCAATAAAAAGAGGCCTACAGAGATGAAATGACACATCCAGGGTCACACCCTTGTGGAACCACATGACTAAGTCGCCTCCCCTCCCCTATCCTATGATCTTCCATTACACTCAAAGGAGCAACCAATGATGATGGAAACAGCGGAAATGGGCAGCAAAGATATGACACCAGAAAAATGAATAAATCCAGCTGAGGACTCAAGACCATACTAGTAGACTTGTAACACATACAGGGTGAAATAGACTCAAATTTATTACTCAGATTATATCGGTAGGCTAGAAACTCATGCTGCCTCTTCATGTGTAACCTTTAATCTGTTCCACCAATCCATTACAGGGATGGTGTTGTTTTTAACATATGACTTTCTATAATACTAGATCAACAATTGGAAAAATCTAAGATCATATATTTTATAAAGGATTCTTTTGGTTAGCACAAATGGAACAGGAGTAAATTCCATAACAGTATCTAATAAGAGAATGAAAAAAAAAATCCCAAAGCAAGTCGATCCTCATTAAATTTAGCGTGTGTGTGTGTGTGTGTGTGTGTGTGTGTGTGTGTGTGTATCTGTTCAGACATATGTGTGTGTACCTGTGTATATGGAAAAACTCACCTTTGGTTTGTCAATTTACATATTTCAATGCCTGGCTGTGGGAAAAAAAAGATTAGATATACTTACCCTGGATGGGCTTGGATGTCCTCCATTCCCCCAGGACCCTGAGCTACTTCTGTCTTCTACATCTAGGGACAAGAGAAAAGTTCTTTAGGCTTTCTTGCAATAATTCTTTCTTTCTGTGTATGCACTTTGAAATTAATGTTTCAAATTAATCTCCTGTTGCCTTTAATTAAGAACCAGGCACCGGACTACCACGATGATAGTGGCTTCTGACCTATCTACTTAAATTAACTCATTTAAATTCACAGCAGAAATGAACTGGACCCTCAGGAACCAGAGGCATGCACATAAAAATTAGTTTCAATCCTTCAAAATGTTTGATTGCCTTGATTTTTATAGACATTAAACTGCAAGTTTTACTGAAATTCTTTAGCAAAATAAGTTTATAACATACAATAACACAACCTTAAACCAAAAGAGAAGTTAAATTGAGATAAATATCCATACTAACGGGTTCAGCATCCTTGCCACAGTGATTCTGGATACTTCCAGCTCTCTAGCCAAGATTTATTATGGCAGACAAAAAAGAAGCAACACAAAACATGAAATAAAAAAAGTATTCAGTGGCATACCTCCATCAGCACATTACAGGGCTCTCAGGGTTATTTGAAGGTTTTTTTTTTTTTTTCAATATTGAAACAAAACTTTCTCTTTTAAAAATCGTTTTAACTAGATGTAACACTTGGCCTCCAATCTTTAATCTGGGTTTTCAGTTGTGAAAATGAAAGTTACTATGAAATCACAAAGCCATGTTTTACATAGATAAATACTGGTGAAGGAACCAACTTAACCTGGAAAACTGGAATTCACTAAATTCTTTCCCAGCATGGATCTGAAACCAATGGATTATGTTGTTTTCTATGGGGAGAGGGGTACCCAAATAGAGGGTTATCATATTAATTACTTAAAACATTGCAGCATTTAAAATTACTCACTCTACATTTAGCAATGGTTTTGTGATTTTTGATGAAAGGCCCACTGTAAGCATAAAACATTTCCCTGTTATGTGATTTTGATCACAGTTGATAACAGACATCACCCACATTCTCTGATAGTAGTGGAAGAGGGAGTAAAACCCTGGTCCAGGCGACAAAATCCCATTTATTATGTTTCCTAACATTTCAGACATAAAGTTTATTCTCTTAATAATCTAATGTCACTCCTTTTATTACTGCTACTTTATTTGCAGAAGTAATCACCGTGTAATTGACTGATTGATTTTGGGAACAGTATAGTACAGAGTGTTACAGAGTATTTTAAGAGAGAACAGCAACAGCAACCAGCCTATTTGACACTAGACTCCGTCCCTCTTTCTTGCTCATTGTCTCCCTCACGCTCACTCTGGCTCTCTTCCTGCCTCCTTCCCTCCTTCCTACAAATAGTATGTCAGCTCCTCTTAAAGTTGGTGCTTCAGAAAGCAGCACAACTACAAACAGATGTTCCCGGTGGACAGTTAGAATCAGTGCTTGGTGTACTCTCGGGCACATGAACAAAACTCTGGGGATGAATCACATCCGGAGAAAAGGTGTAAAACTTGCCCCAAATCTGCTGTTTATTGTATATGTGGTGAACTGAACTACATAAAGAAGTTACTGTAACCCTCTGAGATCCTTACACGACTGAATTTTGCAACCTACATAGCTGTCTTTACTTTTACCTAAAAAAACCAAGTATTTTCAGACCGAAAAAGAGCATATAAATAACAAAATCTTTCAATCACTGATGGTCACAACCTGACTTCATTTTCACCTGTAGAAGCCAGACTCGATTATTTTAACAGCTTTCTCTTCTTCAATGCAGCCAAAAAGTAATAAGGGAACATATTTGAATCCTTCTAGCAAAAGACTTCATATTGTTTGGACTTATAAATTTATCCTTTCAACTTGAAAATAGGACTTTAAACATACAAAGTCTGCAGAGATAATACTGTTATTGTTATCTACCAGGGTAGGTCAGTAGTATCTACCAGGATCATTTTGCCCCCAGAAGACATTGGCAGCTGGGGAGACAGTTTTGGTTGTTACCATTTGGTGACAGGTCCTATTATCTTGAGGGTAGAGGTGAGGTACACTGCTAAAGATCCTACACAGGTACAGAACAGCCTTCTACAACCTTAAGTATTCTGGTTCCACATGTCAACTGTGTAGAGATTTACAAGCCCTATTCTAGAGGAGAAAAAATGAAATCAAACTGGAGAACAAGATGTAAGAGAATTTGATTTATAATTTAATAAGATCTTCTAGATGCAGGTTCATACACATTTGAACTCAGACTCAAGTCGAAATGTTTCACAAGACCTTTGTATACATCTCCTGTCCACCAATAAAGGGAAAATGATGGTCAACCAGCAGCCTGCTAATTAGCAAACAGATAAAACACATCAAAACTTGAGTATTCCCAACTGGGCAGTTTCAAAAGCGAGCAATCCACTAATTAAAAACGCTGGAAGTCAAGCTTTTTCAAAACAGGTTAAATACTGGCTGGGTTCCTTCACAATAAATTCTCAGCCAATCATATCTGACTTCTCTTTTCCAGTCTCCATCTTTCTATTTTCCTGACCTTGAGCCGCTGTGCTTTCCTTTCTGTTTCCTCCCCTTTATTGCTCTCTTTGGAACAGACTCTTGCCTCCCATTGCCTCCCGTTAGATCTAGAAGATGAGGACAAATCACTAGCTCCATCAAATCCAATAAATACAACCATCATATGAATTTTAATTGTATTTTACCTTGCGAAAAAAAATCTATGTAACTGGTGTTCATTTATCTACAGCAAGAAGAGACAAAGGTACAGCTTGGACAGCAGCAATTCATAATGAAGGCAAACATGCCACTTTTCGGTCATTCATTTCCATTTTGCCTCTACTAAGTTTCACCAGACCTGTCAGTCGGTGAGCAAGTATTTTTCTCAATGACTAGCTGAGTGTATCACAAAGTATCTCCACCTATATCTGGCATGCTTATTTCAAAGTGAGTTCCTAGGGCCCATCTCAGACCTGCTGAGTCTGGAACTCTAGGAGTGAGGCCAAGAAAATTGTGTTTTTAACAAGTATGCTAGGTAACATGCATATGTCCAGGTGGTGGACAACCAGGAGACCATACTATCAGAAACAGGCCAAATCATGCCCATACTACTTAGAGTAGCCTTCTCCTGCCTTATCTTAAAAGTCTTGTCTAGGACACCCTCCCATCTCATCTGTGTCCCCGTCATTCTTACCTGGACTCATTTTTATGTGCACCATGTAAATGGTCATCCCTTGCTCCCTGCTGGACACTGCACACTCTTGGACACTGCCATGTCTTTATTCCTGCAATTTTCTTTACCTAAATTGTTCCTCACTTCCCTCAACAACAGTATCACTTCATAGGGAATGAGCCTAAATATGTACTAAGATGCTGCTCAACACATATCTAATCATATCCCAATTTTATGTATCATAAAACTAAAGCTAAAATGGTATTAAAAACTTGCCCAAGCTATCAGTCAGTAGCAGAGCTGGAACAAAAGTACAGATGCTATAAGATGGTAGGACGGGGCTGGGGATTTAGCTCAGCGGCGTAAGCACCTGCTTTGCAAGCAGGCAGTCGTGAGTTCGATCCCTGGTACCGATAAAAAGGAAAAAGACAAAAAAAAAAAAAAAAAAAGATGGTAGGACAAGTAATGGCTCTTATCCACCACCATAAATGCCCCCGTGGTAAGAATTTCCTATCCACAACTACCTAGAACACTTTCCCCTCTCACTTCTCTCCAGATGGAACGAACAAATTTATTTGGCAGTTTCCAACCACACTTGTGTCACATCATAAGTGAATAAAATGAATACTTGAGAGAATCAAGGGGTTAAAATAATAAAAAAAAAACTGAAACAATAAAACCAGACATATGATGGGTTTATCAAAATCTGTATTGTAAAGAACTTAGTATCTGCTGAAAAAGGGCCAAAATTTTTAAGCAGAGAAAGCAAGAATGAAACACAACTGACAATGACTACCAGTCATTGTTCAGAAGAAACCTAACTAAATCTAGCACTGAATTCGTTGGGAATAATGTCAACGAGCCCTCAACACAGAGGACAGAATGTCACAGAGTTATGCATGATATCTGAAAAACAGTACATAAGGCTGACTCGATATTACAGTTTATTAAGTATATAGAACTCAGTACAGAAGTAACCATGTGGGTATATGTACAGCTATGTAGCTAGACATTTTATGCAATACCAAACTATGATATATGTTCCTTATAGGAAAGAAACATCCTTAACTCTGAGTACCTCTGAGTACCTTGTGTGACACAGAACAGTGGTTGGGCTCATTAGTAAGTCACTGACTTAGAAGACTGCAAGGACAAGAAAGACATATTGTGATATAAGGAATCTGTACATCTAGATGGTGAGACAAAGCAATACACAGGAAAAAGGTACGTGAAGTCCACTAGCACAGTGTAGTAATGAGGGGTTTTCTAAATATTCAGTTTTCTTCTTTCCCTTTTTCTCCTGCCACCCTCCACTCAAGATTGGAATGAAAAGCAAAGAAAGCCTCGACAGAAAGAGAAAAGAGATATGAACAGCAAGTGCATATAAAATTATTCTTCCCTAAACCTGAAATGGGCTCAACTGTTCAAGATTTTCTCTAATTTCTGATTTTATTTCAACTAGGATAGATGTGGTACCTTACCCAGGACTGACAGCTGCTCTGGGAAGCAGCAACAGAGCAATCTGGAAATTGTCATTTTTTGTATTAGTTCTACATGAGGCCACTCTAAAACATCTGGCATTTCAGGGCTAAATTGCAGGTGTTCGTTTGGGCAGAAGTAGAACCAAGCACTCCACTTAAAGAAATAGAGATAGGGGGCTGGGGATTTAGCTCAGCGGCATAAGCACCTGCCTTGCAAGCAGGCAGTCATGAGTTCGATCCCCAGTACAGATAAAAATGAAAAAGACAAGAAAAAAAAAAGAAAAGAAAGAAAGAAATAGAGATAGAATTCTTGATTTCTATGATTTTTCCATACATGCTCATTATTCTTAGGATCTGATCACCCAAATCACTTGGCTTCTGTTGATAGTGAG